AGAAAGTGCAGACTGCGTACATTTGAGACAGGCTCAAGAAACCTCAAAGATGCGGAGGTTTCAGGCAGAGTTCGGGAGGTGGCAAGAGGTGTACTGCGTCTGCGGTCGGTCATTTCTAGCGTGCCAGGGTTTCACTGGAAAGCTGTGCAATTTACTGTTTTACCCGTTAGTAGGAGCAGTAACCTCCATTCACTTTTCTAGTGCCATGTTCTGCTAGGGTTCTCCCCCTCCCCTCCCCTGCTTTTTTATTTTTTTTATTTTTTATTTTTTTTACATGAACCTGACTTTCACTATGCAGGCAAGGAGGGTCAATGGGCAGAGGCTGCTTTTTACGTGTTCAAGGAACATGTCCAGCTTTCACAATACAGCTGTAGAGCACATGCTGAATCAATCTCAGCATGACCTGAGAAGCTGCAGCCTTTAAAGACAGTGTCGCCTCTATGAAAGTAGCTAATTTCTCATTGTCCCAACTTCAGAGAAATTGGGAATAGGTTTTGGATGGTAGATTTTAGTCTGTTCCACACAAGGACAAACCACTGTCTTTCTTAACCTGGAGTTTAAAACAGAAAGAGAGACATGATGTTCTCCCATCTGGTTAAATTAAAATAGCATTGGTGTGAGATCAAGCTTACATTGTAAACTAAACACGAGCTGGAATTTGATCAGAACTCATTGCTCCTGCGAGTTTTTGCTCTGGTAAGGGAAGGTAGCAGTGCCTGCAAAAATAGGAGCCCTGCTCTCTCCCCACAGAGAGAACCTCTGCCGCTAGTTTTTAAAGTTGTGAAGTTGGTCAAGGACTTGGCATCTTTTGGGTGAGAGACGCTGTGCTCAGGGTTGCATCTAGTTTAAAAACACAGTGCAAATTACCACTGTGGATTGGTCTGCCTGCAGTAACTCCTAATAGAATGGATCAGTCCAGCTGGAAACTAGGCAGCAGGCAACCCAAGTTTGGTCACATTAAGTGAGATACTTTTTCAACAGAAGGTGGAAATTAAACACTTACTCAAGTCTTGCAGTCCTGAGTTGGCAGGATTTTCTTACCGTGTCCATAGTATTATGGCTTTCTCTTACCCTGGGTGTAGTGACACCAGGGGGGAAAAAAATAAAAAAGCTCGTGGAAAAAGGTATGGTTAGAAGGATTTTGGCTAATTACAGTAGACTTAGGGGCAGTACAGCAGCCAGCCAGCAGAGGCCTTTGTAAGAGTGCGGGAATGGGAAACACGAACCAGTTTTAGAGCAGGGATTTTGCCCAGGAGGCTACAAGGGAGCACAGTCAGCTGCAGCCTCTGCCAGCAAAAGGCGGGGAGGCAGGGGCAGTCACATCTGATAGCGGTGGCCTGGAAATGCGGGCAGCACTGAACAGGAATCGAGGTGCTGGGCATAGCAGCAGCCTCTGCTTTGCCTGCGGCTCTTGAAGAGGATTGCGGGTACCGGCTCGGCAGAGCTCTGCTTCCTCCTAGGCTAGGCTGCCCTGGGGGCTGCACGCTCTCATTTTTAGAGGGTGGCAGGGGTAATTGCACATTTAATTCTGGCAGCTGTAGTGGAACAACAGCACTCAGTAACCCAGGAGTGTTTATGGGAGCCCACCAATGACCGGAGTGTGAAAACCCTCATGCATGGAGGGTTGCATGGGAATCACGCTCATGAGCTGAAGGGCTGAAAATCGGACCCTTCCCACAGCGTTTTTTATTGCTTGAGTAAGAACCTTGGCGTAGAGATTTATAAAAAGAAAAAGTTGTGAGATGATTTTCTCATAGTTGAGTGGGGATATTTGGCATGTGTCTCATATTAAGCTCCATGCTCAAACAGTGCATTTTTTTTGAGCTATCCGAGCGCTTGGTGCAGCAGGTGTAATTCCTGCAGTTCTCAGTAAAAGGCTAAGTAACCATCACAGCCATGAATGCTCTCTTCTGTACCAATGGTTGAGTTCAGCAGTCACAGAATATCTTGAAAATTATCCTTCCATGGTTGTCTTTCTCTTTTCATATTTCATTGTGGGTGCGTGTATTGTGTTTAGTGACTGGAAGCTGAAGATGTGGGTTTTTTTTCAATAAGATTCCTTGAATTGCATTTGTAATGCAGTCACCAACACAACGTTGGAAGATCTGTGCTCTGTGCTTGTGCACAAAGTGGAAAGGAAATGAGAAGATGAGGTCCTCCCTGTGCTCTGGACCCGTAGTGTAGGGCAGAAGCTCATGTTCAGAGCTCTCAGCTGGCTCTGAGCGTAGCATCAGGGTTTGTCATCTTACTAAATGTGGAAACAGTTACACTACCTTTTATCAAGACAGTACTGCAATGAACTTCTGAGGGCCACTGGTGTCCCATTGGTATGTGCCAGGTACGCTGGGACTCCTGGTGACGGCTGGTGCGGTGGAGCAGGTGGTGGTTGCAACATGCAACCAGCCCTGTTTAGGTGCAGCACACCCATCTTCCCGAGAATAGAAAATCCTTTATTCTTTTACGTGGCAAATTTCTTTGATTCCCTTGTTTCTGGTCTCAAAAACCAAGGTTGCTTTCTGGAGGAGGAGGGAGATAAAGCGTATGGGTAAACATGGAAAACTAAACTTGTAAACAGTTTGTTCTAGATTTTTGTTTAACTGTTGATGTAGCCAGTGTGTGACACGTGGGAAACACATGTGGACAGAACATCTCAAAAGAAGGTCTGGAGCCACTCTGCTTTCACAGGAGCTAGAGCTTTTGCATTGTCTTGCAGGCGGGTCCATCATTCACCTCCTTTAAGGGTGGAGTTGTCTGTAGGTCCTCTTTTTGTGCTCTCTTCAGAGAGCTTGTGTTACTGAAGGAACTAGCCTGCAGTGGTTTTGGTGCTTGAGGCTTCCAGCAGCTTCAAGATACAAGGACTGCTTGAAAGGCCTTCTAGTCTGTGCACACCCACAGGCTCAGTGTGACCTCTCTTTTTTTTTTTTTAAATGTTGTGTAATAATGAGGATCCTTTAAGTGTTTATCTAAGCAAACACGTGACTGTCTGTATTTCAGAGCTGGCCCATTGTATTAAAAGGACTTCAATGTCTGCAGCTCTTATCTTGTGCAACCCCCTCACGTATAACAGCCTTCTACAGGGAATTATTAGGGCATACATAGTATACCAGGGCACAGCATAGATTTTTAAAGTTAGTCATTAAATAGCCACTTCTGTTTTCTCCATGTACAGTTTGGCTTGTAGAAGTGTAGGGACAGATAAAACTCTGGTTTGATGGTGCTGCAGGTATATGTTAAGAATCTTCAGAAAAAGTTTTATGGCAGATAACGCTCAAACTGAATGAAGTCAAAGAATTCTCAGTTCTTGTTTGGGATTCAGTCATAAAAAGTGCAAGTTCCCTGAAGCTAGTATTGCAAAATAAGTGATATCACTTTATACACTCAGCTCTATTGAATGGCTGAAGCAAGGATGGGGCGTCTTTGGCAGCGTGCAGTCTGCTCTACGGAAAGCAGCTGTATTCTTTCCTCCACGCCCTGGGAATAGGTTGCAGCATGTGTTTCCCAGTGCAGCCAGCTAGCTCTGGCCCTCCATGTATGGGGAATGAGCAGCTCTTGGGTTTTCAGCCCTTTTGGGTGGGAATTTTTAACACGATGCTGTTGTGTTAGAGATTGCCTCATTGGAAAGGCTTGGTTTGAGATGTTTTGCGTCTTTTCTGAAATGTTCAGCCGTTACAGGATAGATGCCAATTCACACAGACTCATGTGAAGTTTGGGCTGCAGCTGTAAGCTGTGGAGAAATCTTTCCTGAGGTTGAACACGTCACCAGTAGCTTTCTGAAGATGTTTCTGTGTGTGTGTTGCTGTCGTGTTCAGTATAGCTTGTGGAGGTTTTTGAATGAATTAGAGAACATTTTTAACCCTAAAGCATTATATGTAAGTACCAAAGAACTCAAATGCTAATGTAAAATGCTAAAATACATATGTGCAACACAAGTTCCATAGTTATAACACAGATGTATATCTATTAAATTTCTGTTTCACTTTTTCTTGAAGCAGTTAACTGTAATCTCTCTTGGACAGGAAGAAACTATCAGTTCAGGTTACTTGCCCAAGAAAAGAACTCAAGTAGTGTATTTTGACAGCAATGGCAGGAAACTCAGGATTTTCAATGGCAGTGTTTGACAAACTGTTGCAGAAAGTTATTTCTTACATTGGCTAGATAGTACACATGTGTAACTATATGGAAGAAAGACTATTCATAAACCCATTATAATAGTTGATATGTATGGGACTTGTAATGCTTTTGTTAGTGTGCTTTTGAAAATTTTGGGATATTTACAGATTCAATGTGTGCAACTAAGATCTGGAATAAAAATGAAGATATACCATTATGAACATGCAATATATTGTTATGTACATACAATATGTAAAGAACTTTTCAGCTGTTAGAAGGTGGAGCCTTAAAAGGAAGTGAGAAGCAAACGCAAAGGGGATTGACATGTTTGAGTATCACTCTGAACTCGATAACCTGAAACTCATATGTCTCTGTGTTTGATAGGGATGTGTTGTCATCATAACATATTTCCACCATAAAATATATGGAGAAATCTTGAAGGCAGGAAGTTTTCTTGCAACCTACTGAAGATGGGAAGGCTCATAGCCTGGACCTTGACTCACCATCAAAATTCATGAGAAGTTTGTCATGGGAGCCCCCTGTGACATGATCCAGGTTGTTAGCTGTTGCTAAATGACAGGGTAGTTTGTGTTAGGGGCCTAAAAATACCCAGAGGTTGGACCTGAATTGGCAACACCACACCAGGAAAAGTTCAGCAGATTATACTCATATACTGCTGCCACTGTATGGGAATAAATTAAAAGCAATGAATAAAACGGTAGAAAATCAATATATTAAGAGTTACTCACTTTCCTGCTGAACATCTTTTTTTAAGTAGATGACTGCTTCTAAGGTCAATGACAAATATTGATGTACTGAGTTACAACACTTGATAAGGACACAATGCAATACTAATCACTTACTCCTTTGTTCTTTATTTGTAGGTCAAGATGTTGTTAAGTATAAAAAGCATCTTATGGATGTACTCTACATTAGTTATAACATACACGCTACCTAAAGGTAAGTCTGTTATACACAAAACCATTTATTAAAATTAATTTTAGTGGTCCAATCAGTAGGGTATTTCCTAGGACTCAGGAAAGAACCCAAACTCAGGAGATTCAGTTTTTGGTCTTGCCTCTGCAACTCTTTTTGCCGCACTGTGTAACTAACTTTGTTTCCGTGTTGTTCTCATTGCCTTACTGGTTTATAAAGAAAAGTCTTGGTGGGTGAGCATGTTTTGGCCAAGATTTTTACGTGCCTGTCTGATGTCTCCTGAGGTTTGTAAGTGCTATTAATATAATTCAAGTAATAATAAAGAAAGTGCCATAGGATTACATTGTGTAAAGCAAAACAGATTTCCTTCTCCTCATATTCAAGAATACATTTTAATCCTTTAGCCTGTGTATGTGAACTATTGGACCTGTTGGCCAGGTGTCTCTTGGACGTTCATTTTCCATGATCCACACAGGACCTCCTTGCAGTAGATGAGTTGAGGGTATAATTTTAGTGGAGGGCAGAGACCTTGCATGGGAGCTTCAGCCTGGTGCCATGGAGGGAGCAGCAAGCCATGCCGGTGGCATGAGAGCAGGAGCAGGTTCTTGGGACAGACCTAGCAATGCTGCAGAAGTAGTGAATGAAATGGGGGACTTTTTGGGCTACAGGAATAGTGATTCAGCACACCTCCCAGTCAGATCCCAAAGCATGTGCTCATGTATGTCATGCTACACCAGCGTTTTGGGTCTATAGGTCACAGTTTGCACCCTTTCTGTATTCAGGGTGAAAGGTGCCATGTGCAAGTGGGATGAAGCGGAAACCAGTAACCCCATTTTCTGCTTTGCTCTGTCTGTGGTTTGTCAAGGAGTGGTTGGGGACATGCCTCTGGAGTGGGAAGTGTGGCAGCCCCTGTTGTGTGGGGGCTGCCATGGGCTAAGCTGGTGGCAAGGCGTTTGGCTGCTGGGGTCTGGAGCAAGGACATGTTAGGGCAGCTGCAGGTCTTTGATCTGAGTGGAAAAGAGGAACACTTACTTCTTTTGGTGATTACATGTTAACACTAAAGTTAGTGTGTGGTTGCCATGGTTATTTGAAAGTTTGAGTCAAGTAAGGAGAAGATCCTACAGCTGCTGCAGACTCACAAAATTGGGATAATAGCTTTTCCAAGACTCAAAGCAAGATTTTTCTTTTTTTTTTTCCTTCCTTTTTTTTTTCTTTTTTTTTCTTCTTTTTCTTTTTTTTTCTTTTTTCTTTTTTTTTTTTCTTTTTTTTCCTTCTTGTCATTCCAGGAACTCCTCAAACTGATTTTAGCCTTTGGGAAAATCAAATGTACTGATTTTTTTTCCCAGCTTGAACACTGTTGCTAGCAAAGTCACAGACTCACAGAATGATCAGGGTCAGAAGGGATCTCCGGAGATCTTCTAGTCCAACCCCCCTGCCAGAGCAGGGTCACCTACAGCAGGTTGCACAGGACTGTGTCCAGGCGGGTTTTGAATGTCTCCAGAGTGGGAGACTCCACAACCTCTCTGGGCAGCCTGTGCCAGTGCTCCACTACCCTCAAGGTAAAGAAGTTCCTCCTCATGTTAAGATGGATAATTAAGTCTTTAGGTAGCCCTGTAAGATAAAGGAAAAGACTGTTGTGCTTAGTGAAGCCAACGAAAACCAGTGGTTTTCTTTACCTCAAGCAGGTTGGGAGCAGCATCCTTTGCTATTTCCAACCATCACTTCCTCCTTAAAGCTGGTTTTGTTTTTCCATTCTTCATTAAACATACAACAGGCCAGGACCATTAGACCTGTCCTCAAGGACAGCAGACTCAAAGCTTCAGGCAGGGGGCAAGCCACTAAAACTGAGCTTCCATTTTCTTATTCATGGAGGACTGAGACTGATTTGGTTATTAACACTGATATGACTTGACATTTCAAGTTTTTTTTCTCTTCCCCCCGCTTTTTTACTTAGTAAAATGCCTGTAAGTGTAGACTGATGTATGGATCTGGGATTCACGGCTGACATTTAATAATTTGTTCATATGAAGCATTCAGAAAGGCAAAGTAAGTATTTGTCAGGAAAGATCATGGACTTATAAAGTAAGTCTACATGGTAAGCTAATCATAAACACTTAAGCACTAGGTGGGATAGTCCTCTCCCTTTTCCATCCCCTGATGCTAATTTTTGTGCTTTCCTTTGTGCTGACCCAATTTTTTTTTTGTGGGTATATGGCGAACTGAACCAGGTAAATGACTTATTTGAAAGATGGCATATGGCATTTCTTGCATGTTATTTTTCCACTGGATCAGACCTTTGATTCGACTTGCTGCCTTGCACAAATGCTAGCACTGGCAGAATTCAGGGCTTGGGAGTGCATCACTGGAAGTGGGGAGGAGTCGGATGGATCCTTAGAGTGGTAGAACATGGGATGGCACGTTCAGATGTCTGCTGACTTACTCCACCTTTTATCACATCTTAAATGGCTCGTGAGGTCTCCAGAGTAGAATTTTTAGTGCTTAAGCAAGTTCCATATGAACTTCCCGGTAAGGGCTTCTCAGGAATATAGACCAGGTCCTGACTGAATCTTTCAGAAGGAATGCAGAAAGACCCTTATGTTCCTAGAATACCTTGTGATTTTTGTGGCGTTTATTTTTGAAGTTGGGAGCCATACTTTTGCTCTAGAGAGTCTTAAACATGTTCAAAATTTGGCCATGGTGAAGAAGACAAAGGTGAAAAATATTTTCTTTTTCATGAGTTATTACAATACAGTCTGTGGGATCAACTCATATCCTTCTGTTTTGTAGAAATGTCAGTCAGTTTGTGTAATAACAATTTTGAGGACGTGTGTTACAAGATTACAGACAATCTTTACAAGTATAGATATTTCTTTTGTTTAAAAAAAAGAAAACCTCTAAACCAAAATTATATGTCTGCATTTTGAAGAGTTAAACATCTTAGGTTTCAACTTTTTTTTCTTTTTAAGTCCTGAATTTGAATATAAAGCTGAAACCTTCAAATCTTTCATGAAACACAAATTCCCATTTTTCTATTCCCACAATGGATTGTGTCACTCTATATGATTTAATTAAGTTTAATTAAATAATCACTTCAATATGATGCATTGCAATATTTCCTTTAGAAAGCTTTCAAAATTGTTCTGAAAGTTTAAAATTTTTTTCTCAACAGTCATACGGGAAATCTGTTAATATCAGCAGTTATTTTTAAAGTGTAAATCCTGGAATCTGTGAGTCTTAATATTAAGTCACAACAAAATTGAAACTTAATTTAGAACACAGCGATTTATAAGCACACAAAGTTTTATGCATTCACCACTCATCATCATTTCCGTCTTTGTTTTTTCTTCTACTCTTATCTTTGTGAATGTCACGTTCATAAATACCTAGTATGTTTTCAAGGTGTGCTTGTTAGATTTTATGTAGCAACAAAAGCATTTTTCCTTTGAGAGCAAATTGGGAATGGTCTTGTATGGCTTCTTTAAGACTTTAAATTCTTAGAAGATGTTTGTCAGGAGGGCAGCAGGAAATACGGTGTAAGCTTTTGGGGTCACGGGAGTGCCCCTCTGCAAGACCTTTGCTGTTTGCTCTGGTACGTGTGAAGGATTAATGACAGAAGTTCACGAGCAAGGTTTACGCCTACTGCTGGTGTGGCATTTACTCACTTTGAACTAGCTAGTGCTAGGATATTGCAGTTTACAAGCTGGACCTTGTGATTATGATCAATGTTGGAGTTATCTTACCCTATTTGTCATACCATGAGCGAGTATGCTTCCGTGGAAGCCCTGTAATCCACAATAGAGTAGAAATCCCCTAGATTTCAGTGTGTGATATGTTCTTTCAAAGGCATATAAATAATACACCAGTATAAACTTCAGTTTATCTGATCATGTTTGTGTTCTTTATGTGCTATAAAATACATGTGTCCATGCCTGTGATGTCTGCATATGTTATATTGAATTCTGCAGCTGAGATTTACATTTGCCTGGCTTCCTGTGAGTTTCTTGCAGGTTATGGAAGTAGTTGATTCTTCATCACTCAATGCCTCCTTCTCTTATTCTCCTTGCTTAGACCACAAATCACCTGGTAAAGAACTCGATGAGGGGTTTTGTTGGGTCTCAGTCCGTTAACTCTGCTGTCAGAGTTTCATATAAGTTTGTGTAAGCAGCGCATTCATTTTAATTTATCGCTATCTTCTTTAAACGATTTATGGTTAGTGAAACGACTTTTCTTAGGCTCAGTATTAGTATTCAGATTAAATTCATTAGTTGTATATAGTAGTCCTATAACTTCATTAACCCTTTCTATTGCTGCTGGTAGTCAGGGCAGTTGAGCATATGTTTAGGTAGGTTGTTGATGAACTAAAAAATAAGGTTCATGTTTTTTTCTCTCATAAATTTGGCTTAAAATAGGTATAATCTATTATTCTTGAAGCGTGTGTTTTTGTCTGCTTATTCAACAGTATTCTGTTCAGTTAAGCTCAATTACATAGCAAAATTGTTCCTCCAGTGTCACTTCATGTAGGGCGTTCTTTTCTTCCAACTTCTTTTCCATTACAGACCTACTGCTGTCATCATTATGGTCAACGTAATACCACAGGGCAGAGTTCTGTCCCACTTTTTTTTTTTCTCTTTATACTTCTATTTTAAGAATTTTGTAACATTTACAGCAGAAAAAATGTACAAAGAATC